AAGACTTTCAAGGCAACTCATTTCTCTTTATAATACATCAAATTTTTTCTTTCGCGAGCCAGAGAACAAATAAAGAAACGGAAAGTTGGAAAAACAGTTCTCATATGACTGTTGACAAATATCACGAGGATCATTCATACCAAAAAATTTTTGGTGAGTGGCCATACACCACAAAGGAACGACATTCATTCAAACGCCATTATCTCGATCAATATCCAACCTTTCGACATGATGCAACTATCAATCGATGCGTCGTGAGCATCCGCATCGAACGGTACCAAAAAATAAAAAGTTAACTAGCAGAAAAAAAATGCCGATTACCTGATTCGAACAGGTGATCTCGTCATTACAAGTGACGCGCCTTAACCACTTAGCCAAACCGGCTTGATATCCTGCTTCGGATCTGAGGAAACTAAGTCCGTGTTAGACTTTTTTTGAGTCCTTTAAAATTCTTATTAGAAGTCAAGGTGGCGTCTCCAAGCCACCGAAAAAGAACCCATCATGCATACAATCGTTACATACATTTGTTCTTGTCGTGTGAGGATTTGATTTTTAATTCTATTTAGATTTCTAAAGATGCAATAACGAGAACTCGTTGGAAGCATCTCAACCTCCATGGGTTGTCGTTGATGCGGCTGGCACTGCTTTATTGCTTTCAGGCGCGAAACGTACACTACCATATTACCCTCATTGTCTTCTTGTTGTATTGCCTTGTGCTATCTTTGACACTTCCACTCTTTATAATTCAATGCCGTATCATGCTCTTAATCGTCTAAAACCGTTTGCCAGCAAAAATAATGTAAGAAAGCTGAAGGACACTATCTGTGGTTTGTTTGGGATAGTCATAGTATCATTTTCTGATTTAGTTTATCTTTTGTTATATTTCAGGTCATCCGGGACCCTTTTTTTGTGAATTATAATATCTGGGCCATTAAACATCTTTCAAAATAGAAGTAAAAAACGTTCTCGACGCGATCATTCTAAATTCTCCAAATTGATACTTGAAATACCTGACAGCCTTTTGCCTTCTAAATTTTGGAACACGAATATCTTATGCATAATAGCACTTCTTTTTAAAACGTGTCAAAAGAGATATAATGTATGGCGCCAGCATACTTGTTATGCTTTTTGTTTTTCTTTTTATTTTTTCCTTGATCTCTCCTTGTCAGGTCACGGGCGGTGTGAGAATGCAACCGAAATATGTTAATATGTTCACTCTTTATTTCAGCATGCTCTGGCATGTTCGATCTGCCTATGGTATCTGGCATGTCTGAACTGCTCACTACAGTGAGCAAACTTCTCGTCTGATTGCATCTTACTGAATCAAATGCGTGTCTGAAAAGAACAGCCAACAATTCTGCTAATCAACTGGAGCGACTTCTCGACCATTTATACAATGTAATCCTCTCATTTTATACAGTAATTTAACGGAAAGGAAACGTGGTTCAGTTTATTCCATCGCTTTATCCAAAAAAAAAGAAAGCCAAATGCCCGGCAAAAGCATAAATGTTTTTATTCCACCATCATAAGAAAAATCTTCTTAGCACGCGCTATCCCCTCATTATCGCCTGATCAGATTCTCTCATTGGGTTGTCCTCTCGGGCAAATCCAGCTACAAGGTTATTTTATTAGAAAACAAGGATTATACAGAATTTACATTCAAATGCTTTGGTCATACCTTGATCCTTAAAATGTTTTCAAAGTGATAGCGATATCCTCCCTCTCCCGATAAAATCATATTTTTGGCATATTGACTCATGGGCCGACTTGCATTCTGCATTGAACACGGCCGCTTGACTTTGTTATTTAGATTAAGATTTGTGAGCTTTTGTAGCTTCCAATCATTGAGTTCTTCGTCGTATACAGCCCTTGTCTCAACTTTCCGACACTCTTCCACCGGAATAAAGTTTTCAATTATGGAAACTTTAAGGCTCAATTCCCGTGAAAGCTCGCGGATTGTATCCAACAAGTCTTCTCGTTCGTTTCGAAATTCGTCCTGCAGGTCGTTGATCTCAGCTTTTGCCGCATGTAACTATGCACAGAGCTTTTTCAGCTTTTTTGATTTAACGTCCACCTCTTCCTGTAGTGATGCATAATTTTCCTCCATCTGCAGCTGCAGTTCTTGTTTGCCTTCGAGTTTCTGCTGAAGCTCTCTTTGAGCTCTCTTCTGGCGTTGAATAAGAAGCTCCTTTTCTTCCAGCTCGCGTTCCTTGGTCGCAACGCGGTCGACAATGTTGACCCCTCCGACTAGCAGTTTGGCCTCCATAGCAGAAATCTTCTTGGCCAGGTTCTCTTGAGCCTGCCTCTCCATCTCCAACTCTTTTGCTCTCTTTTCCAACTCTGCAGCAATTTTCATCTTCTCCTCCATGACCATATTCTTGGATGCAAGCAATGCCCTTTTTTCGGCTTCTACCTCAGCCTCCAGGCGTGATATTGTTTCTGAATCCAACTCTGCCAACTCCTCCATACCCCGTGACCCATCACCCTCCTCCTCATTACTATCACCTTCATCCCCACTTGCATCCTCTTCTTCACCCTCGGACCCTTCACCTCTGTCTTCATCACCGCCTTGTTCTCCACGATGCCGTGCTGAACGTTTCACTTTCTTCATGACCTTCTTTTTGACAATCTTCTTGACCACTTGCGTCGGAACCTTTTGCTTGGCCTCCAACGCTTCCTTTAGCTTCTTGATCTCTTCCTGGTACTCACGGAGCATGGCATCCTTGGGATCCTCATTAATCTTGGGTTTGTTTTTAATATTTTTGGCCCTGTTGGCGTATCGGAGAGTACTCAGTGTTTCATCGTAATTGTAGCTTGCTGGACTAAGTGTTGCTATCATAAGAGTTCTGTGTTTTGAGGGAACAAAATATTGTTAGTTTGTAAACGTTACAAAAATTCATTTTCCTTACTTTGCATTTCCACCCAAGGAGTCTTGTAGTAATCCTATTTAACGTTATGGTAACAAGTATTTACAGTATTTATGAGCAAAAGGGTGAGGCAAATAATCAAAACTTAGGGACACCTACTCGTTAGCTTTGAATCACGATATGGAATGTGAGAGCTCTTTCCATCGACCAGCGCGGAAATACAGTTACCCAAAGCAGAGAGCGACAAGTTAATTTTAGTAGCCTCCTTCAACCGTTCTCCTGAAGCTCCCGTCTTAGATTGCCTTTCACTACCGGCCAAATCAACCAAATGAAGCTTCCCCGCCAAAAATCTGTCCTCGCCATTGACACCCCCACCCGCCTCTGAAGACTCTATCGTGATTGTAAAGATGGAATGCGATCGCGATGAGGTTTCGTTCATCAAAGTTGCACCGACGGATCTAGCATTATTCCCGACCGTCATCAGCTGCTCCATCTCAGCCACACTCTTGACCACGTATGTTGACAAATCCTTGACATAAACTCCAGTCTCTGGGTGCTCTTTCAACTCCAACGACGTAGACTTGTTGCCTTTCTGCTTTACCAACAGATCCCGAATTTCTTCATTGTAGATTTCCAAAAACGAGACACGGACAAGAAACTGCTTATGGAGGGACCGAGCAATATGACCAAATATATGATTGAAAGCATTGGGTATGATTCCCCTCATTTGTGGTACATTTGATATTCCTTGCATTGTAAATGTTTTTCCAGTGCCGGTTTGACCTGCATGCATTCGATTAGCTTCTACAAAATCATTATAGCCCCGCTTTCCCACGATCTTACCGTAGCAGAACACGGTCCCGTTAAACCCTCCCAACACCGCATCGACGATAATTCTGGCGGTAGCATTGTATACCTCCATCTAAGCCGATTGAATCACACATCAGCTCGATCATCATGTTCACACGAAATTATAGGATATCTATAGAGCGAGGCAATAGCGAAAATGGGACCCACCTGTGCTGAGTTTTCGTCAAATGCCGCGTCAAATGTAAACGTCTTTGTGTCCCCTTCATTTTTGGGACTCTGAAGCACAATCACCCCTCTTTCCGATTGAATTTGAAGGCATTTCTTCGCCCCAGCTCCCTTTTCTTTTTCTCTTTCGTTGAATGGTCGACATCGAATGCAGACGATGACAGCCTCCGCCATGATGTGAGCTGCTGTGGAAGAATTAATGCGGTGGAGGCCTTCAAGCGAATAATATGTCAAGAAAAAAATCAAGTGAATTTAATTAAGACAATTTTTTTCGGTCCTACAGCCAAGAACAGAGGCTCTCGAATGGAATGGCTGGTCTTGTTGACAAACTCGAGGTCTCGCTGCAGCTGATCGAAGCCTTAAAAATCGAAAATGAAGCGTTTAAGGAGAACTTTGATCAGGTTTGTCATGATCGATTCTTGACTTTGTTCTACTTTGGTTGATCTGTTGTAATGCTAAATGTCTTTTCCGACGGCTGAATCGGGGTTTGTTTTGATCAGCTGAAGGAAAATTATGATCGGAAAGCAGAAAAGTTGGAAGGATTGGAGCATCATTGCTCCATATTAGCATCAGAGAAGGTGAGAAGAGTTAACATGTTGGCTAATGCTTGTTCACATCAGTACCTTTCACTGATTTAACCGATTTTCAAATGCAGGAAGCTTTGCAAAAACAATTATCAGAGCTGGGGAGCTATTGGAAGGAGCAGCTGGATGCAAAAACAGCAGAGATACAATCACTAAAAACTCATACACTCACCCGAAAGTATGTTTGTTGTTGTATGGTTGGACCATAATTAAACACTCTGTCTCAGGGAACTGGAGATCATTCGATTGCAATTGGCCGCCGAATTGGAACAAACATACGAACAGAAATTATACCAATTTGAAGAGGTATGGGTTAAAATCACTACGAATGACAAAAAAATAAAGCCTAGCCAAATCTAAATCTGGGTTTACTGCATTCAGGAAGTCTCAAAAAACAAGGAAATGGTGTTTCAGTTGAGAAGGGAAAATGAGCTACTCAAGCAGGATTTGAGTCGCCATGAGGTTGTTCGCATAAGCGAATCTCAAAATATGATCAAAGCACATCGTGGTGAAATTGAAAGTTTCCAAGAACGGATCAAGGAATTGCAAATTGCACTGGGTAAGTCACATGCGGATTAAATTCATTTTTCTTGCTTGAGTAACAAAACTGAACTCCGTTATTGGTAGATTCAACGTCTGATACTGAACGCATTCGACAACTCCAAAGAGAAAACTCGGAACAGTTTTTAAAAATCGAAGGGTTGGCAGCCGAGCTCGAGGAGACCAGGTATGACCCTCACAGAAAGACATTATGCTTTACTTCAAGTAATCTAATCTCGCGGGACGCTCAGACTACGGAAGGATACGATGGTGGCGGAGCTGGAGCAAAAAGATAGACTGCATCAACGCCGGCTAATGGAAGAAATCACGCTTCGAAAGTCGTTAACAGTTGAAAAGG